ATTGGATAAATATATAGTGGATTACTTTAAAAAGTATTGTTACGTTCTACTTTAATGATGGGTTCTATTAATGTACAAGACTGTTGAACGAATACAAGAACACAGAAATGATTAATTTAAGAATGATGGAAAACATAAATAAAGAACAGATACATCGTAATGTGCCCTTATTCGAGCACCTATACTCTTAAATAATATCCTCAAAGCATTCTACGAGTTTATAATTGGGTATACTATAGTCTACGTCACAGATCGTGTTATTCCTTCTAAATTTAACTAGTAAACAGCATTTTCTGCGAACCTGATTTCTAGCAACAAGTAAAAGCATCAAACGAAGTGTCTTGTTATAAGTCGCTACTCGCCAGGTTGGAATTGTATTAGTCTAGTTCCTTTGGAAATAATTTATTTTGTTGTTTTACCTAAGTTTCTGAATTTTGCAAATATATTTAAAACTCAGTTTATTAATTAAACTAAAAGGTAAATGTTATTCCTAGTAAAATTTTTGAAGTGGAAGTAGTTGTGTTTTTCTCATATTATACCCAATTCCATCTCATATGTCCGTTGAAAAAGTCTCTCGACTACGTTTTCCTCCAGTTACCATGGAAATAATACGGAGAATTATTAGAACTTTGAAGGATAGCTTACAACTCACTAAGTACAATTAATGTAATTACTTAAACTAAAAATTAAGTAAAAATTGTATAGAGATGTTCAAGTCAGAGGCTGAGCTAGATCATTGTTCCAGTATCATTCAACCAATTTCCGCTAGCACTATTTTCTATTGGACGATTCCTATCCCATTAGAGACGTATTCCTCTTGGTTGCATCTGTAACTAATCATTGATAGATTTAATGAAGTGACGTCAACTTAGACATCTCTATAGTGAATAATGAATTTTTTCATGCAAAATACATTTACTCTTTTGTCAATGTGTGTTCAAATATGATATTGTATAATAAATACTACGTTTGTGTTGAAATAGTTTTTTAATTTAAATGGGAGTGCATGTCCATATATATTTTACTTCTAAGTAAGATGCGTAATGTGCATGATCTTTTAAAGATACGTGACCTTTAAAAGTATAATGAGTGGGTGGTGACGTTCATAAAAGCACCACGAAGACAATTGAGCATTCACTCTTTGTCCGCCAAAGACACCGTGTTGTTTGTTCTAGGTCAAACTTTCTCCACTTATGTTGGTCCCGCAATGTAAAGACACAATGTTGGTCCCGCAATGTAAAGATCGCAAAGACACTGTTCCCAGTAAAACATCGATGTTAAGCATCACTGGCATCGATCAGTTAGCGGGTGGGTGACCACTTTGGTGAGCCTAAGTAGGGACCGAGGGTGTGCGGTATCAGTCCTCGTTGAACTGTTCCACCATAAAGTGCTCGACTTCACGCGCAGGTCGATGGGTTACCAAAGCAGGGGAGCTATCCCTTCTGCAGAGGATCAAAATTGCGATGGCATGTCTTCAGATCATCCCAGACGGTCGCCAATAGCCCATTGTGCAGCTCTAGTGCGGCGTAAATAAAGTACCCACCTACCTCCATTTATGTTGAATAAAATTTTATTTATGATAATTACAGTTCAATTATTTATTTCTGTTGTTAATCCTTCCATATCTATAATTTATACTGAACAAAATGAAGAATGAAAAAGATAGCTCAATGAGAAAAAAAATTACAGTTAAATTTCCGTACTCTATGGTAATGGAATTTCTGGTAGAAAAAAAAACAACAACATAATTCTGGTTAATAAAACCAAAATATACGGTATTTAAACCATTTATTTGATAATTATTCCCTTTATATGGTAACGGTTTACCGAAAGATTCTGGTTTTAAAAATTACGATCCATATTACCGCACATTTAGTAAAAAAATACAAAACTAAAAAATTAATTTCATAGAATAAATGGTTTTCATTCCATGCTCTAAGGATCTAAGGTAGAATGAAATTACCAAATTTTTTTGCATAATTTAAAACCATATTTTATTGTTAATTTTACTAAAATTGCTTCGGTTAAAATTACCGAGCTTCTTCCTGTTTCCATAAAGCCAGAAGTACAGTAAATTTTACCATATTCTGGTAGTTTTGACCATACTTGTTTTTCTCAGTGCACTTTGAAATTCTTTTTCCCGATAAATGATATAATCGATTACCAAGTGAACTTCTTTTAACTTATCATATTAAAATATTATATCAGTTTTAACATTATGGCCTTGTCTGATAATAACAAACAGCAATGATAACATAGAGCCGAATAATTATGTAACACATTAAATTTCAACCTTGTCCTTGTTAAAGCACAAAGACTTTATTCTCTGAAGACGCAGCTTCCATTTTATTGGACTATGTTTTTGCTATTTTATCACTTAAATTTTTTTTTTATTTTTATGCCTTTAGAAAAAGATTAAACAGGGATTTTTTCTGTTGCTAAAGATTTTTTAACAGATCTCGATACTTTCGTATCACCGATTTCAAATCTGAAATTAGTTTCTCTCTTCAGGGTACCATTTTTTTAAAAAGAGTTTCAGTCTATTTTTTTTTTATTTGTCGAAATGTACAAATTTAAAAACGTTATGAAAAGCAGGGAGTCGCATAAATGTTGGCAACTAATTTCTAGAGGAGTTAAGGCACATCACCAGGATTAAAATTGCGTTAGGACCCATGCCTAGAAATGTCGTCATACGCCGCGTGGGGGGCTTCCTTATTATGAACTGTTTATCCATGTGCTGCTGAACGGATCATAATATGGCTTCGACAATATTCCGGATAAGGTTTCCAATGCAGTAACTCCCCAGAAATTTGTCGCAACATTTACGTGATCCCTTGTTAGACATAACGCTTTTTACAGAATTTTTACACCAAAATAGAATAAAAATGCTCTTTAAAAAAATCTGTTGTTTTAGGAGCAAAACTAATTTTAGATTTCAAATTTTCCTCACCCGAACCACGAAAATTGAGTATTTGTATAAAAAATTTGTTCGCCAGTGTTATTTATGCTAAAAGATCTTTTGGACAGTTTTATTTCTTATAACTATCTTATTATTTGTGTTTAGTGGATTTTGGTTCATGATCAAAATGGGAGCAAATTCACGATAAAAATATCCTATACTAAGCTTAAAATTCTGAAGATCAAAATTTATAATTTTTTGTAATAATTGAAGATAATTAAAAAGTATTTAAATTATTAAAAAAATTATTTTATCATATTTCTGAAGATATTTCGTCTACTATCAATGAAGTAACAAATATCAAGTTTTAAAAAAAAATTGCACCCTTTTAAACTCAAAAACCTTCATTAGGATATATCATATAGAAGATTTAAAGATAATCATTTGAAAAGTATGATAATATTTTAGTGAACTTTAAAAAAAATTAGCTTCAAAATGTGTATAAGCAACAAGAAACTTTACGCACAACATTTTTCATTCATAACTACCTTATATGAACATGAAAAATGTTTAACATAACGTAATTTTTTACTTCTGAATTAATTTTCCATTTTGTTGACCGTTTTCAGTATTTTAAAATATTTTTCGCACTGCAACTTTTATATCGAAGTTGCAAAATCTATCAATACTACTTTTTATTCGAAAAAAAAACAAACAAATTATGTTTGATAGATAATTTTATTATAAGTGTTATTAACAAAATTATTATTTAAAATAAGAAAGTATTACTCCTTTATTGTATATTAAACTTTTTTTCTAGGTCTAATAAAATACTAAGACTAATTTAATACTTTTCTAGGATTAATGCAATGCTTATATACTCTTAACTTGTTAAGCTGCAAAAATTAAACTTCATGTCTATGTTTTTTCAGTTTTATTATTGTAAAATTAAGAAAATATTACCAAAAATATCTTAACAAAAATCAACATAATTATATTATATTATAATAAAACAATAGTAATGTAATAATAATTAAATAAATTAAGTTGAAACTACAGTATCGTCTTAATATAAAATCAGAATCGTACATTTGATATTGCAGACCTTTTATATTTCTTTGTTTGAAAAAATGGCAATTGAAAATAAATTAATAAAAATTTATGTAATAATATTCATAATGAATATAATAATTTGAACCTATAGCACCTTATTAGTACAATATCAGAATCTTATTTTTAATTATGATTTCGCAGACGCATATTTTATAATGTAGAAGAAATAAAAAAGGAAGACATCTAAATGGAATAAAAATAATACGAGTAATAATAATAGTTTATAATTACAGTAAACTACAGCATCACCTTAATACAAATATCAGAATCTTGTTTTGGAATTTCGTTATTGCTAACATTTTTAAATTTTTTACATTGAAAGAAATTGAAAAGAAAATTGTTTTGATAAAAAAATAATAAAAAGGGTTAAAGAATAATTTTATTATAATAAAAATTGCGTTTTTATTTGTAATAACAATACACAATAGTAATAAAAATAATTTCTGTTAATAATACATATAATAATTTGAAATTGCAATATAGTCTTAACATAATATCAGAATCATACATTTAATTTTGTTATTGCAGACGATTTCAATGATCTTTAGCTGAACGAAATGGAAATTGTTTTGATAAAAAAAGCAATAAAAATGGTTAAGTAATAATTTTTTTCATAATAAAAAGAGAGTTTTTATTTATAAATAATACATAATAGTTATAAAAATAATTTATACTAAAAATATATGTAATAATTTGAGATTGCAATGTAGTCTTAACATAATATCAGAATCATGCATTTAATTTTGTTATTACAGACGATTTCAATGCTCTTTCACTGGAAGAAATGGAAAAAGAAATTGTTTTGATAAAAAAATAATAAAAATGGTTAAGTAATAATTTTTTTATAATAAAAAATGCATTTTTATTTGTAATAATATTACACAATAGTTATAAAAATAATTTATACTAAAAATATATGTAATAATTTGAAATTGCGATGTAGTCTTAACATAATATCAGAATCATGCATTTAATTTTGTTATTGCAGACGATTTGATTGTTCTTTAGCTGGAAGAAATGGAAAAGGAAGAATCGCTGCTACTTAAACGGTAACCTTGAACTTTTCAAGAAAAGCATTTGCTGCCAGAGACTGTAAGGAACATCTGCTCAAATAAAATAAATCAAGCTTTAAATTTTGATATGAGAAGATTAAAAAGACATCGAGTTCGATAGGATAGATTGTTAAACGAAAAATCGAAGTATGTAACAATACATTTTACCAAATCAGCTGTTATAACAATTTCAGGAAACTGTAATAACATGTCGAATTAAATGCATATTGAATGTAACAAACTGATTTTATCGTAATAATTCTTTATGATGTTTCTTAAGAAAATTAGAAAATTTATAGAAAAACAAATACCGTCTATTAATTTACAAGCATAATATAAAAAAATTTGTTTAAAGCGCTACCATTACTTCGTCCCTCGGTACTGATGATGTTACTTGAGTTATGATTAATTTCATTACATGATTCGTTCTTACAATTTGAATTAATTTGTAATATTGCATGGTATTACTTCGTCCCTCGGTACTGATGATGTTACTTGAGTTATGATTAATTTCATTACATGATTCGTTCTTACAATTTGAATTAATTTGTAATATTGCATGGTATTAAATGAGAATAATCTGCAACTAACTGATACTACCATAATTATTTCTAATAATGTTTTTAGAAAATTGTAATAGGTATTGAAAAACAATATGGTGCCAATATGTGAAGAATATGAGAATTTTTTGGGTCTCTCTGTTCTGATGATGGTACTTGAATAGTAAATATTCAATTCGAATTAAATCGTAATAACGCGCTGAATTAAATGAGAATAAACTGTAACAAACTGGTTTAATTAAACTTATTTCTGATAATGTCTTTTAGAAAATTTGAATAGGTATCAAAACAATAAATGGCGTTATTTTACATATACATGAAATTGGGGAATTTTTGGCACTGCATTATTCTGTGTCTCGATACTGATGCTGGTACTTGAATACTTGAATGTAACAATAAGTTTTACCAAATGATTCGTTATAACAATTTGAATTGAATCATAACAATGCAAGGGATGAAACGAGAATAAATCATAACAAATTAAAAATATCATAATTATTTCTGATAATGCTTATTGGAAAATTTGAATAGATATCGAGAGAAAATGGCGCCAATTTACATAGGTGAGGGATTGAAGAATTTTTAGGCACTTTATTATTCTGTTTCTAGGAACTGATGACGGTATTTGAATGTTGTTGATTATTTGATAGAATTTATTGACTTTTCTTTAGATATTGAAAAAACAATAAATATCCTTATAATCTTAATTATAATAATATTTGATAATATAATCGTAAAACCGTTTGCTTTTTTGTATAGTTTTTAAGTGATTGATTCAATTGACTAATATGTTGATTGTTTCACTGTAGTAACTTGATTTTTTTGATAGCGAAAAATAAATAAATAACGTAATGTTAATTTAAGCGTGCAAAAATGTTTCTGTTGTTTCAGCAAAGGTTCATATTTTCCTTTAAACGAGTGTTTAGCTGGTAATGTGCAGCTTAATTAGGTAGTTTGCAGATTAACTAAGTAATTTAATCAATGAAACAATTTTTTGACACTTTAAAGGATCACCCTAGTTAATTTGTAGAATAATTGATTTTAAAACTTTGCCAACAACAATTATAACAGCTTCTGTGTGTGCCGCGAGTGTTCCCCAAAAACATTTGAATCAACGAGTTTGGAAAGCGGTCATCTCCAACAAAACTCATTTTACCGGACAGACAAAAAACTGAATGGTTAAGTACCAGCTTGGTAAATAAAACTTTTTTAATTTTTTGATCTCAAAATATGGCTAGTTACAAAATATTCTACTGTGTTCAATAATATCACTTAATTTTTGAGTTTAAAAAAAAATAAATTACAACTCGTTGTAGATAACCGGTTTTCGGGCAAAACCTTAAAACGAATACTATACACTCATTTTAACAAGTGAAAATATCATTTAGAAATGAAATAAAAATTGTATTTAAGTTTCAGACTACATATTCATGGTTATTTGTGTAGATTCAGAAAACTTTTGAATTATGACTATCTTTGCTTGGCCACTTACAAATTTCTTCATAGAAAGACAAAAATTCATTACATTTTAATTGTAAAAACTTTTTTGACGTTTGTGATTTCTGACATTTTTTTCAAAAATATGCTTCCTTAACTGGTTATGGTGACACTTTTAATGTACTTCTAATGTACCAGAGTACTTTTTTATGCAGAGTAAATATTAATTTGCATAAACCATCACTGAAAGGAAGTACTTCAACTTCATCAAGTGCTTTTATAAGTAATCATTGTGCTTTTTATAAGTAAAAGTGCTATAATGTGACACCTGAAACTGTTGTTTCTCCCATCTTGCTTTTCTATTGGCGAATTGTGACAACATATTTTTCTGATAATGCAGCTTTTGAAATCAAGTGTCATGTTATTTGTAGTCACTGTCTTTACAGTTCATATTTACTTTTATCCCTTTTTGTTTTCTTGCTTATACCATCGAAATAACTACCCTCTGAATTGTGGGATTAAAAGCATCAACAAAATAACAAGTCTAAATTAAATAATTAATTGTTAGGCAATGCGAACGATTTCGTAAGCAACAACGGCTGGCACCTGGCGATATATTTCCAGGCATGCTTTTGAACTAAATTGAGATTTCACTGCACAAAATATACTAGACCAAGTAGGGGGGCGTGAATTTTTTATATCCCAACTATGAGCTCTGATGGCTCAGGGAATAGAGCGTTCGCCTCCCAATGAGGTGAACCGGGTTCGAAACCCAGCGATGAATGGTCGATGTGAATTCCGCATCCAGTTTGGAACCGACGACATTGCTGACGTGAAATATCCTCAGTGGTAGACGGATCATGGGTTGGAGTCCCCTTGCCGTCAGGCTAACCGGAGGAGGTTTTCATGGTTTTGCTCACCATATAACGCAAATGCATGCGGGTTAGTTTAATCAAAAAGTCCTTCACGAAGTCAAATTTTTCCCAATACTTGATCCAGGAGTTCCTCTTCTTCTGGATCGGGTGCAAAATTACAAGGCTACGGAGTTGAACTAGTCGTAAACCTGAAATTGGGTCGACTGTTCAATGAATGTTATAATTTATACCAATTATGTTATCTACTTCAGCTAAACTGCATGCGAGAATATAAATTTTTAAGATAAAAAAAAATGGAGATGACTGGTTTTCGGGTTTTACGATTCACTTAAAAAAGAGAAAGAAAAACACTACGTGTTGAACGATTTCATTGCAACACGCATACTTTAAATCATATATTGATATTAACAATTATGCGTTTAAATTATAATTATTTAAATGTATCTATTTTTCAAAAATGATTGTTATTCCGTTGAAGTATTTGAAGTCATAAATTTAACTGTAAAATGAAATTGAATATTATCTTCCGTCTTGAATTAAATTAGCTTATTCATATTTTTTTGCGCAATCAACAATCATGATTATTAAGTTTATTTCCTCAAATCTAAACAAGCTATCATGTTCTTTTGTAACAGACGAAGAGCTGTAATTATTTATTTACTGTAATGCATCTGCATTATTTTGGAGTGTGATATGACCAAAGTGACAGGCTGGTGCAGGTCATGACCAAGCTATTAAAAAAATGGGTCATACATCTGACAGTCTGAATCGAAAAAGTTTATTTAAATGTAATCAGCCGAATGAGGAAAAAAAATGAATAATATTCTTTAAGGTTTTGGAGTAAGGAAAAATGCTAAATCATGCTTATTAATTACTGCAACATTGCTGCTGAATTTCTGAAAAATAGAAAAGCTTTACTTTCGTGCATTTCTTATATAGTAAGCATGACAAAATTAGTTTCTTCCCTTTTTTTCTCATAAAAACTAGCTGCTGGCCAACTTAGTAAAAAGTGTGCTTTACCACAAATTGCAGTTGATTATAGTAAAACAAATTACAGGTTGATAAACAATCTTATTAATTTACAATTTGATTTCTTCTTTCATTAATCCAGCTTTATTGTAGTCACTTATTTTCTCGTTGCATCACAAATCATTAATGAAACCATGAGTTAAATAATTAAAAAAGAACGGTAGTCATTGTAACGTAATTAATAAATGTTACGTATACAGCCAAACCAACACAACAGTTTATTTCATAAACTAAAAGAGAACAGTCATCATATCACCGGAGAATATTAAATTACCTAATGTCAAGAGTCATTTTATAAAGAACTCGGTAACCCACATCTTATAATTTTATTTTATAACCGAGGTTAACCCATTTTTGGGTTTAATTGTATTAACGTTCACCTCCGTTGCCTTGTAATTTTAACCCCAATCCAGAAGACAACAGAACTTCTGGATCAAGCTTTGAGACAAGCTAGCCTTAATGGAGCACTTTTTGACGACATTTATCCGCATTTACGTTAGATAATAGAGGAAAACTACGTTGCAGAATTTGAATCGGCCAGCCATCGTTGGGATTCGAATGTGGTTGATTTTTTTCCGCTACTTCACATAATTAGATTCAACAAGTATATTTCAATATGAGTAGCTGATAGGAGTTTCAGTTTCAAATCTGGTTAATTTTCATACACGTCTGCAGTATCTGTTGCAGAAGCCTCTAAACCACAAAAATGTGGGTTATCATTTCTTACTCCCCGAGGCCTTCATGTTAATATAGGCATTGTTTGCCATATATATATATATATATATATA